CTCTTACAAATGCTGAATAAGATAAGATTTTAAACCCAGAATAATCAATGCAGAGTGAATGAGTAGGAGGCACCATTTTGTCATTTACTCAAAAAGCAAGATGTTTTGGGTAAACCACTGTGAGCAGTTACGTAGAACCCCTTCCCCCCCCAAGGTTAAGTAATTTTCTTATTTACCTTTCTTGTAAATAGGATTTATAAACTGGTGATACAGGTAGTCCTCAGCTTACAATTGGGACCAGAACTTCTGTTGCTAAGCGATGCAGTCATTAAGTGAGTCACCCCCAATTTTACAACTTTTGCCGCGGTCATTAAGCAAATCTGGCTTCCCCCATAGACTTTGCTTGTTGGAAGCCCCCTGGGAAGGTCCCAAATGGTGACTGTCATAAATACATGCTAGTTGCTAAGCACCCAAATTTTGATCACATGACCACAGAGATATTGTGACAGTGGTAAGCACAAGGACAGTTGTAAGTCACTTTTTTCAGTGCCATCATAACTTCAAACGGCCATTAAACAAATGGTCATAAGTCAAGGACAACCTGTAATTTACATACTCTGGTCCTGTACACATTGGCCACAGCCCAAAGAATTAAGGATAGATGCTTATAGCCTTCAAAATCAATGTGCTAAACTGCATGATTCATCAAATCAATGGCTGTAATGTGTGTCAACAGACTGAAATCTCAGTACATGGAGGAACAGTATATTTTACAAATGAGTACTTCACATTTGGCTGCAACTTTCATGCACCAAAAACTTCGTTCACATTAAATTGTTCTTTAAAAGTATATTTCAGAGCATAATTAATAATTGTATTTACCCTTCACTTTAGGGGGAATCTATAAAATACTTTCTGGACAACTTGGATAAACTTGGAGACCCAGTAAGTTTTATTTCTAAATTTGGTGTTTGAATTACTGTGAAATGCTAGAAGGAATTTTATTTTTAGCTTCAAATGATTAAAGCTAATCATACATATTAAAGGTGAGGGAATGCATTTTATCTGTCTATACTTTTAATAGAGATAGGGGATTTTTTGTTAGTTTCATGTATATTAAAACAAACAACTATAATATAAGATGTAGCATCATTCTGATCTATAACTAAACTTGATATTTGATTCTAATGTAAGCTAAATGCTGTAGACTCTATGCTGTTCTAAGATCCAGTGTCAGATATTAATATTGTATATTCCCTTGTCTGCTGGATTTTTCTAAAGCCACTTGAACTGTAATTCTTTGGTCCACTTCTCATAGTTAAGTGGGAACCCATTCCTCTAGTTTCTAAGAGCTACTTAAGAGTTTAGAAAGTCTATTAACTCTGGTTAATGGTTTCATTTAGTTAGAATCCAGTTAGATCTAATACCTGCCCACATTGAGTACATTACATGTGCTCTTAGAAATCTGTATCTTCACCAGTTATTAGTGGTGGAAAGGCCTAAAGCATGGAAATGAGGAGGTATCCAATACGTTCTATATGTTATTGTTCAGCATGTAAAAATGCTAATTGTTTATGTATACAATGCACCCTCAATGCATACCTTCATTGCAATTAACACAGAAACATGGTAAATTTATCATTTAATGCAATGCATAATAGTAATAGCATCCTGCTTATAGAATTGTTCATAAATATTAGAAGTTTACAAAAAAGACCAAAAAATAATGAGCTGACTCCTTCCCTTATATTTGTTTTTTTATTTTAAAAAAATCTATAATTCTGTTCAGTGTCAGCTAATCTTTTTTTATTTTTCTCATTCAAAATGCTGTCATTGAAAGTATTCCTTTAAGGTGGCAGGGTTGAATTGGATTTATTCATTTTTCAGGGAACAATTAAATTTTTGTTTTCATGGATTTTATGTAATGTTACACACTGTTTTAGATTCTTATTACATGGTGCCAACTTGCCTCAAAACAGGAATCTAAAATAAAGAGCTTTGCCATTAGTTTGCTTAAAATCTTACTCTTATCACTATTTTAGCTTAGATATTACATTCGATACAATCATTCTGAGGTTTCTTAAAATGTAATGAATTTTTTTTCTCTTTCAAATGTTTGAAGGTTATTTGTGTTTCAGTAATTGCATTAACAACTCAGATTATTTCCCCCCAGGATTACCTTCCCTCCCAGCAAGATATTCTGCTAGCACGAAGACCTACAAAAGGGATACATGAGTACGATTTTGAGATTAAAAATGTTCCCTTCAAGATGGTTGATGTAGGTGGCCAGAGGTCAGAAAGAAAACGTTGGTTTGAGTGCTTTGATAGTGTCACTTCAATACTATTCCTGGTTTCATCAAGTGAGTTTGATCAGGTACTTATGGAAGACCGGCTAACAAATCGCCTTACAGAATCTTTGAACATTTTTGAAACTATAGTCAACAATCGGGTTTTCAGCAATGTGTCTATTATTCTCTTCCTAAACAAGACAGACTTGCTTGAGGAAAAAGTGCAAAAAGTGAGCATCAAAGACTATTTCCCAGAGTTTGAAGGGGATCCCCACAACTTAACAGATGTCCAAAAATTCCTGGTGGATTGTTTTCGTACCAAACGCCGGGACCAGCAACAGAAGCCCTTATACCACCATTTCACCACTGCTATTAATACAGAAAATATTCGTCTGGTATTCCGTGATGTCAAAGATACCATCCTTCATGACAACCTCAAGCAGCTCATGCTACAGTGATGTTGAAAAGACTGATTTGTGTTAATAGTTTACAGCAGGAGTTTGAAAAGTAAACCTGGTCTTGTTAGACTTCACGATGTGTGGGTAAAAGCTGCTGCTGTTCTTCTTATTGCCAATTTCTATTAAAATCAAAATCCAGGCTTTAACCTCTTCCTCTTCATTATCTTGAATCAGTTTTAACTTTTAATAGACTTCAACTTTTTTTAAAGCTAACTCCAGGTTTTAAATTATTCTGTCTTTTTTCAGCTAAGAAGCCTGAACTATTAACTTGTAGATATGTGCTCGAAAGAAATTATTTGGAATCATGCAAAGTTCTCTGAAGTGGTTGGAATTTGAGAGAACTATTGAAGAGTTTCCTTAGCTTAGGCAACTACCACCAATTGTTGTATATGGTAAATGGCTTTGCTCTGTCAAATAATTAACCTATATTTCAAGTTTACAAATGCACTTCTGCTTCCATGCCAATAGAGAGTGCTTTCAGATGGTACCAGAAAAGAAAATATTTTCTACTGAGTGTTTCAGTCAAAATGAATCACGCATAGGAATTATTGGTCTTGATTGGTTTTTGCTAGATCATGTAGTTTGACAAAAACCCATGATTTTACAGTTTGGGCCTCAGCTAACTTAAATCAAATAGCTGCTTCCTGCAGCTTTGAAAGTCCCTCTTAGTTGCCATGAATAAACCATTGTCTGAGAACACTCTTTTTCAGTTAGTACAGATATTGTGATTTGGATAAAGGAGGAAGCCAAGCACAAGATTTGTTTTTCCCAAACAGCAATTCTGTTTATAGATGTCAAATGTAACTTATTAAAGAATGCTAGCACACTGAGTACGTACAGCTGCAGTTGAAACAGTAGTGACCATTATATTGGCCAAAAAAACTAAAACTGAATTAAAGCATAAAGCAGCTGAATTATATCAGACAAATGACACATTTAAAAAAAAAGTGAAATTAAAAAATGATTCTACCTTCTGGCTCAGTTGCACATTTTGAAGACCTGGCTTTGCAATGAAATACTCAGTAAAAATAATAGTTTTGTTAGCTGAGAATGTTGCTGACACTTTGGTATTGGTTAAAAGCCTGTATCACCTGTAATTCTGAACATCTTTAACTATACATTTTATTCTAGGTTTTACCATATTAAGCTTTAAAGAGGGCATTTACAAAAGGGATTGACACTTGTGTTCTAATGTTTTAATGCAGTAAAATTACTTGGATGGTTAAGAAGAACAACGATTAGCAGATTATTTCCCTTTTTTGTTTCATTTGTTACACAGGCCAAATTTAGTCATTGCTATTGCTCTAAAAAAAACCCCAACAACCATTCTGTAATCTTTGTAGAAGGAAGTCAATTAACAAAGCTTCTGTATTTTTGAAAAACAATTCGGTTTTGCCGTTCATTAGACTAAGGTAATGTAAGTGTGTGTGTGTTTGTGCCAATTAAATGCTTTAACAGAAATTGGCCTAGTCCAGTAACAGTAAATGGTTAATTGATGCAGAACCTTATAATCTAAAGTGCCTCTTGTTTTTTTTTAACTTATAGTGGCCTTACAGTGAATACCAGTTTACCTGATTGGGGGAAAAGGGCTTCAAAATCATAACAGACAATGTAGTGCAAATAAATGATCACTGCATTTTTGCTATGAAGTACAAAACCAACATAATTAGAACTTTCAGGATTCTAAGGTGAAACAAAATACATGTGGGGTGGAGGGGAATGCCATTATTTCCATACTGGTGTTATTTTAGAATTCTACCAACACTGTTATAATGAGGGAACTGAATGTTTTTTGCAAGATGTTTTAAACATAGACAGTACTTGTTTTAATCACTTCTATCTAGCAGTTAAAACCAACAGAAGTTGATATATAAAATTAACAATGTATATGCAGAAATGAAATATCAGTTTTACAATACTGCTAACAGAGTACTGTTTAAATGCATTTTGCTTTATACTACAGAAAGATGACTTTTAGAGGACAGTGAGGAAATTTGTTAAGGTAATGCTTTATTCTGGAAATAAAATTAATCATGCAACACATTAACTTAAGTGATCATTATAAATCTCACTCAATATATTCCATGCACATGGGCTCAAATGTATTCTAAGTAGCTGTAAGAGGCTGCAATTTCAATGACAAAATAGGAGATTTCTGGTAGTTTTACACAGAACTGTTTCTCTCTCCTATTCTCCCATCACACATATGTACAGAATTTGGGAGTGGCAGAATTGGTAGGAAAAGTAATCTGGAGAGAGAGAACGTTAAAGAGTTCTTTCCCCAGGCATTCTTCCCCTCAATCTACCATGGACTTGATTTTTAAAAAAAAATTATGGGAAGGATGAACTGTGTTGTGCCTATTTTGGATAAGTATAAAATGTTGTACCAAAGCCTTTGGAGAAAGGGATTCTGAGTTGCAGTTGCAATGGTTATATCACCAGCTCATAAAGCCTGGGGATCCTCTAATTCAATGCTGGATTTTTTCTTTTTCCTCTTGTCCTGTTACTGTAATGAGTTCATGGGCTCTGAATATTGTTGGGTACAGACTTTAATGCCCCCTTTGGGGTGTCTGGTACTTTTTGTATCATTCTTAATGTATTCTGTAGTCTGAAATAAATCAAAAAAGGAGTTAAAAATAATTCTTGCTAACAGGAGTGGCTTAGTTTTCCCAGATACAATTCTAGGTTGCCAGAGGCATTCATAGAAACACTTTTTACAAATGTTTTTAAAAATTTATTTTATTTGGTGTGATAGTTTTTCAAATTCATGAGGACTTTTTAAAAAGTATCTAATTTTCTTTTGACTAAAGTGGTATAAACTGATTTTTTTATTTTAGATTTTCACAAAATTCAATATTTTAAAATCTAAAGTTAAAAGGAGAGGTATTTAAGTGCTTGCATGCTTAATTTCCTTAAACTTTAACCAGGCCATTTTAAAAATAACCACATATTTAGCCTCGTGCCTTATTTTGAGGAAACTCAATATAGATAACCATTCCTCAAGGCTTGAGAAATCCTGTATTTTCTCACTGTGAAATAGGTGAAAATACAAAATGGAACAGTGCTCTTGCCTCATTCCCAACTTCCTGTAAAGATAACACCAAAGAGTAGTTTGAATATAGCCTTTGAGAAAAGAAAGGAGTTGGAAGGATGGTCCTGATGCTCTGAGACTATAGTCTGGCAGATGCTTTTCTCTCAAGTCAAATTTGATTCAGTTTTGGATTGAACAGAACTGGACACTGTGTTTCTCCAGATGTTGCTGAACTGCAACTGCAATTATCCTTCCTAACTGGCTACATTAGCTTGCATTGCTAAAAACTAAAATTCAACATCAGACAACCATATATTGCCTGGTCCTACTTTAAAGGCTAAATTTAAATCAAGGTAACAAATTTCTTATTAAGCTGTTGGTTAGATTTTGTGTGTGCTATGGTCATTTGTTCAAAAAGCAGTTGTTTAAGAACTACTGATTGATGGTACCACAACACATACAGTATTTTAAAATCAGGTTTAAAAGGATTATGCAGCATTGTAATAGTGTCCTTTGCAGTTTTCTTTATCTTATACTTGAAAGCAGATCATTGCCAATTATTTAAAACTGCTTTCACATTCTTCAACAGCAGCAACAGGTTATGTTCTATAAAGTTGTCTGTAAAACATATTTTGTAATGGCCCTACAGAATCTTCAATGAAACCATGATATGTATTACTTTTGTATAAATGAGGGATATGTTTTGAGGCTATGCAGTTTTGAAATATGTGTATCTTTTGTAACTTTCTAGGGAAGAAGAGAATCTACTACTTTGTAAATTCACCCCACCCCTTTTTGTCCATGGTTGGCAATAAATTATTTTTAAAGAAGGTCTTCAAATGTATCATTTAAAATGGTTTGATTACTAAAAGATGAAAGCTTCATTTAGTTGTACATTACTCTCTACATAATTTGCAAGTGTTCAAGCCATTAATATTGCCTTGTGTAAAGTAAATTACTGACAGTAAATAAACAATATACACCCTCGTGAAGTCTGTATCTTTTGTACTTTAGGAGTATTTTTAGTTAATTGTCAGTACAACCATTTTTGACAACCTAGCTTTAAGTTAAACTTTTAATTAAGCTACCAACTAAATTTCATTTTAGTTTTTAGTGTAATGCTTTTGCAAAGATTAAGGAATCAACTTTGCATCATCAGTCAAAAGAGCCTTTTGAGACTTTATGCCCTAAATGTATACAAATATTAACAGAGAGAAGTTAAATACATAAAAAGATACACTTTCTATGCTAAGTTGATGCTGTTTCTATTGGTCCTTGCTTTTAAGTAGAATTTCATTGCTTAACTAAATAAGAGCCCCACAAAACTATAATCTTCCACAATATTAGCAATTCTCTGCTTAAAAAAAAAGGTTTGCAGTCTCTCTTGATCCTCGTGTTTTAAATGTCCTGATTCACACACAAAACAAAATCATGCTTTGCTGAATAAACAACTGCTATTTGGGTTCATACAATATGGTAACCCACAAGAAGCAAACCACCTTTTTAAACTGCTGTATGAACCAAGTTAATTTTCAAGTGTATTATCTTGACCTGGAAAAAGGACTTTGACCAGAATATGAACTACTGAATTAGGAAAGAGCTTTTGATCTTTTTGATGTTTCGTGCAATGCCATCCATGTGACTTATCTGAAGTTATTTCTACCCACCTAGAAGTTGTGCCTGTGTTGAGTAAAATTTCTCAAGTTTTCCTTCCCTTTAAAAATAACTTTGAGATTGCACAATGACAGGACAGATGGAAAAAGCTACAATTCCAGCCAAAATTACTGGAGCAAGCTTACCAACAGAAAAATCTATCAATCTTTTCTGACTTTTAAAACTTACTGGCATTACGTTTGCTTGCATTATTTTTTATCCAACTACTTATATCTATAGATACAAATTCAAATCAAGCCAAATAATTCAAGTAGTATTCATTACATATAAGATACTTTGAAAATAACATAATTTAGTAGCCAAACTTGGTGCCAAAGGCAGAAAGACATATTCCTCTTTTTCCCTTAAAAATTTCCTTCATGTTAACACATAATTGGGCATCAATCTATACTGCAATAGTGAATAACAGAAGCTGTTTTTCTTGCCATTTTCCCTGGGCTAAAGCAATTAAGATATTTTAATTAACTCTTAATGTCAGTCTTGCTCATTATCAATCAGTTCTTAAAAGCAATCTCTTCATCCATGATGGCTTAAACTGAGCTGTTATGGAAAGGTATTGTATTATATACCACTTGTGTTAGTAGCTCCAAGGGTGGGGATGTTGTCTTTTTTTCTGTGTGTCTCACTGTAGGAACTCAGCAAATTCAATTTAAAATGTCATTTTATTGTTTTAATGTGAACAACAGATAAAATCTCTGTTTCCCTTCTCTGGGTGTGTATCACAGGAAACAACTTTCTTAATGAAGAAACTTGTTTAACAATATGCATTCTGAAAATACTAAATATATTGCTTGCAATATTACAAGCTAATTTAATGTGATTTTTGTTCTGCTGTTAGAAGTAACATGCATGCCCCCTTTATACCCCCCCACAATATATTGACTCTCGGTGACATACATGCTGTATAGTGTAGCAAAATATTTAAAACATCCATATTTATTTTAATGTATATTAAAATAGAGACAAGTAACAGTCTTGAAACCCTCAAATAAGGAATAGTAACAAAGTAAAACATGATTATAAAATTATAAAATATTACCGTAGAACTGACGTTTAAACCATTTCTAAAACTACAGCTATTTTATGAACCATGTTGGTTACATACTGTACTAACTTACACACTTTCAGGTAGCTCTGACCAAAAAAACCACAGAGCCCATATTTTGTGGTTTGTAATGTTCCAACACATGTTTGGTGTAAAATTCTGGCAAGATCAGTATTACAACCTGTTTGCTTAACTTTAAAAATTGTCACACATCTAGAAATATGTATAAAATACACATAAAATATAATCAGGGTGTAAATTAGGATACAACATTAAGGTTTGCCAACATAATAGCTGCTACAAAAATGCATATGAAGAAATGCTGGAACAAATTTCAAAGCACTTTGTTCCATCACTTACATGGTGCATCAAGCTAACACATATTAGTACATTTCTGTTTCCAGTGGGAACAGCCATATTTATATTCTCTCTCAGACCTATCAGTTTGCTATGTTGCTCCCAAGCAATACCCCATTTATGTTGATCATGCCAAAACAGCTGTCCATTGTCAGCTGTGCTCTCAGCTCTGTTAAGGAACAACCATTCTTCACTAAATAATATGCATTAAATAATACTAATCCAAATGCTTGGGTTAATTCGCTGAACCAAAAAACAGTGACTTGGTTTACACAACACACTGAGCCACAAAGCAGCCAGCCAGTTGAGCTCAGCATACTGTACAAACACACCATTGTTTACCACTGTGTGCAATGTGACCAGATGTAAAGTCATTTTGGTAGCAAGAGCACAGCCCCATTCTGTTACAGCTCACTGCATGAGCAGCCCCACTCCTCCAGAAGTCGCACACCTATGCAGAGGCCTGTGTGTGTAGTCTGTACAAAGGCTTCCATGAATCCCAAACTAGGGGTCTCTTGTCGCAGCAAAGTTTTCACGTGTTTTCAAAGTATTCACACAAAAGTCTCTGCAGTGGACTCCCAACTTTTGGCAACACCCGGCTGCCTACTGTTGTTTGGGTGGTGAGCTGTACTGCTAGCTAGTGTTGAAACACTTTCTTCATTTGCTCAGAGATACCGGCTATGTTTTTCCAACATTCTTTACTGGCTTGTTACTTTTTGCATTCACAGGAAGCCCTGTACTACGAAGCAGTGAAGTGTATTCTAGCCCATTGGGCACACCCAGCTTCTACGATTTATGGTTCAGCGTCATGGAAACGTAGAGAAGTGGGTTAACTTACTAAACCTTCAGTTAGCATGTCATGCCAACAGAGCCACCGTGCTCTGTTGTAGATCACAAGGCACGCTGCAGTTCTCTAGTGACACATCTAGTGTCACAGTGGAAGCAATAGCAACAGAAACGGGCACGTTACACTTCCAGCCGGTTTGCTTCCCTCACCGCTACAGCACACAACGCAGCCGAGGAAGCAGCCCCACAGCCTGCGTGGGCAGCGCCCCTCCCGAGCGGAGCCTGCTTGCGCCCTCTCAGGAGGCCTGGCAACATGGAAGCAGAATTGCCCGGAGGCAAACTCCTCAAGAAGGCGCGTACCCGCCCAACCCGGGCCTTTCCAGCCCCGCCCCCTCCTTTCAAGCCACCAAACGATCCGCTTCCGTTGAGGCTGCGGCGGAGGGGCGGGACCAGTGGCCTAGCGACGGAGACATGGAAGCGGTAGGCCGGTCTGTGCGTGCGTACGTGCGTGGGGCAGCCGGCGGCGGCGGCGGCGGCAGCAGCGGCAGCGTCTTGGGCCGCCTCCGCATCCCCGGGTTGTGAGAGGGCGCGTCTAGTCGCAGACGCGGGTGGGGGGGGAGGACTTTGCTTCCGGGAGAGAGAGACCAGAGGCGGTTTGGGGCAGCCAGGGACAATTTGGGATCGGTACCATTTCAAATAAAGGTTTTTCTCTCGGCTTCTTCAGGGATGTGAGCGTACGCTGAAGATCAAGTCGTACCCCTTGCAGTATATTATGGTGCTTCTATATTAAATCACTACAGCGAATTGACCAATATATGTAACATGGGGATTTAAGATAGCCGTGAGTGGAGAATGACGACGCTGGAGGGGTTTCCTTTCTTAGGTGGTAGCACCTTGGTAACCATGGGTGATTTCAGAAAAATAATGAGGAGGAGGAGGAGGAGAAGGGTCAGACCTAGTTAGCCCTGTCATGGGAGATCTGCAGGGCTGTAGGCTAGATTAGGAAATTGAAAAAAATCTCTTAATATGGCAGTGGCAAATCACTTTCATAGTGTTGCCAGAATAATCACATGGATGTGTCCATGTGTTCACCTGAAATCAAGCTCAAGTTAGAGGTGCCTTTATCTGCTGAATTCCTTTGGGATCCCCCATAATCCATAAATTGCATCTGAAGACTGGGGAGGTGCTTTTGGAGCACCATGTTGTATCAGGAGAGAGTGCAAAAAAAAAAAAGTGGTTGGCAGAAAACGGGGGCCAATATTACACTACCCCTTCAAGTTCCTCCTCTTAAAGATACTGCTTATCATGGAATTAAGAGGATTTGATATACTAGCCTAATTCACAGGAATATGCCAAACAGAGAGTTTTAGCAAATGACTACTGTATTACTATTTTGCTTTCTGGAACTCCAAAATACAAACTCAGTAATGTTTTTGGCTGTTAGGTTATCTAATTAAAATTTTCAGTTTTCCCAGAATCCAGTGAAATTTCTGAAAATGAATGTAAAAACAAACTCATTATAAATGTGCAAACATATTAATGTGCAAACTGAGACCAGCTCCCAATAAATTATAATCTCTTAGAATATTCTTGCATGCTATGTATTTATGAGTATGTAGCAAAAATAGCTAATTAAATGATGTAATTCTGCCTGCCATCCAGTGTGTATGGATTGCAAAAATACGTTCTGTAGAATTATTGACAAAGGAAGTTACTAAACACTTTTGTTACTCCTTCAAAACTTTTAAAACAACATTTTTGGAAATAAGTTATAGGAAGAATACATTTTGAAACAGGTTCTGAAAAATTAGCTGAAAAACAGGTTTTCTTAAACTATGTTTTCTTAGGTAAATTAGAAACATCTAATCTGGGTCCCAAAGCAGTCTCCTCACCAGTCTGTTGCCACATAGCAGATACTCTTTGAAACTGAGAGGACTTTCAAAAGCAGGTTTGGAATAGGGTATGATGTCTGGATGTTATTTTTAAAAAGAAAGACTTACATTGGAGGTTATCAGGTCTTGGACAAACTACAGTAATTCTTCTAGCTTTCCCAGCATGTTGAAAGTTGCTTGTGGATGCCATTAATGTGCAGTGAAAAGTGGAAACGTGTTATTTTCAAGTCTCATTAATATACAAATACATGCATTCGTATCCATTGTGGTATTCTCTTTTGGGATAAGAAATGTTATGCAAAGTGCAGAAAAAGAGTAAGAAATAGTAAACCAAAGAAATTAAGGCATGAGGTAAGGCAAAGAAAAGGAAAAAGATAGCTAAATCAACTAGCACAATGTGCTAGGAACGCTCTGTATCTTATTGTCCTTGCAAGCTATCCACTACACCTATGGAGTGCTTTGTGTTCTTGTTTTTAAATGCCTCAACTCTCTCTCTCATGTAATCACTCACTTTTGCATTCAATCATTCATTCAGCATACATTGCTTTTGATCATATCTCTTTATTTTACCACACACACTTCTTAAGTAACCCATTCCTGTTGCATTCAACTTTTGTGTTTTTCCTGAAATACCCAACGTTCACTTCCATATAACAAAGTGGGCAGAAGCATGCTCTTACGTATGTACAGGCCATTTCACTTATTTTGACAAATAGTCATTCCTCATAACCGACCACATACCATCTGTTACTTTTCTACCAACAATTGCACATCCTCAAATGTATCCATCCATTTTTCCATCTTAAGTAAACATTTGACAAATTCAGCTACTTGCTCTAAGTTTTTTCCATGTATGTATAATTTCTAATTTGTTTACCATGTCAAAAATAACTATCTTGGTTTTGATATTTTAATTATCAGAGTCATACTCCTGGTTGTGTCATACAGTATATCTAACATTTGCCTCAAATCATTCAAATTCTCATCCAATAGCAAAGTATCACCTGGATGCAAAAGTCACATCCCTAGCCAACACAATTATTTGATAAGCATTCCATTTATTGTCATGCATGCTTTTCTTCCATTATATACAGTCCTGAATTCAGCAACCAATCTTCACCTCCAAATTCATGCAAAACAATCCATAATTTAAAACTATTAACACAGACACTTTCTCTAAATCAACAAACATACAACACATTTTCTCACATTCATGTTTCTCAGTGATCTGCCGAGTAGCAAAAATCTGGTCTGCTTACTCTTGCCCTGCATAAAGTAACACTGCACTTCCCAGTTTTGATCACTGTTACTTCTTACAACATTTCTTCAGTTACACCATGTACTCCTGCAGCTAGCCTTAACATTTTTCATCATTCTCACAGCATTTATTACTTCCTTTTCATCATTTTTTCCTTGAGTACTAATTACAGTATTTGTTTCAGTTCCACTCTTTGACATGTGCCTATTATTCCCACAATCTCTAAAGTACTTTACTTCTTCCAGCATTCTCTTTCTTTGATTTCGTCCCAAATCACTTCATCACTTTTATCTTTAATTCTGGAGGCTCTTCATCAGCCCCTTTTACCAACCTCCAAAATAATACTTCATTTCTGTTAAAATGTTTTTTCTTTTAATCTTAACTGTTCCTTGCTCTCTTTGTCTACTTTCTGTGTAACAATCCTTTTCTTTTTACACACCTTATATTTTTTCTCATCCTCATCACTGTTTTTCAAACTTCCTGCTAACATAACCCTGCACACTTCTGTGCTACTCTTTCAGTTAATTTCTTTCCTTCTGCACAAAACAGCTTACAATTTTGCTGCAAGAGTAATTTATCTTCCTATACTTGGCATGTTTGTGTTAAGCAGTCAGTTGTGGTACATTTTGGCCAGGATGCCACTAGCATCACCAAGCCATTTTTATCCCAAGCATGCTTATGCTATTCTATACAAGCTAGGATTGTATAGAATTGCCTTACTAGAGACTGCCTTGCAAACAACATACTATTGCCTGCATCACACCAACTAGGAGGTACATGCAGCATACTATCACACACTCAGGATACACACTAAGGGTAAACATAGATAACATCTTTTTCTCCTTCCTTCCCTCTTTCCCTCCTGTCGCCCATCTCATATAAATGACTCTGGGCAGCTGACAGTTAAAACAGGATAAAAACAGAATAAAAACAAAACCAATAATAATAAACGCATAATGATACATTGGTATAGTGAGCATATGATGCCTTGATAAGGCACTAGGAAATCTGGCAGTCACTTTCTGCATACTGAAAAAAATTGTGAGCAAGAATAGTGAAGGACACAAATAGTGAATGTCTTTTTGTTGGGAAACATTTTAGAATGGAAAACCTCCAGAGAGTACCAGGGGTATAGACTAGGTTGGGAAGCTGAAGAAATGTCCCAGAAGAAGGCAATGGCAAACCACTTCTGTACTGCTGCCAAGAAAACTAGTTGGAAATATCTATGAAGTGACCAGGTATCGAGTTTGACTTGAAGTAGACTTGTACAGTATATGTTTTCCTTTGTTATTGTGCAAGTACAGAAAAAAGTATCAGCCTCTTGAAAACCAGAACTTTGTTATTTTGTTTTAAATGGAAAGGCTTTCAGTCTAAATTTGAAAGAAAAGCTTGATAGCATAGGAAACCAAAAGAGGGCCCAAACCAGTTTTAGTGTTGAGGCTATTTGCCCTTCCCTATGAATAGCAAACGGCTTGTGCTCGTAGAATTGGAGTTCAGCAACATTTGAAAGGCCACACATTGTTGAACCCAGAATTAAGCAAAGTGTACATATATAGTCCCGGGCTGGATAAACTGGAATCTGTTTCTTATTGTATATTTGAGAATGCGGCAAGTATAATTTTTAAAAACAAAAAAATCAAGTGCCCATTGAGAATGGCTTAAAAGCCAGTGTGGGGGCATGGTGAAGGAGCTGGACTGGCACCAGGGAAACCCAGGTTCCAGTCCACCTTTAGCAATGGAAACTTACTGGGTGACTGTAGACCACTTTCTCCCTCTCTCAGCCCAGCCTACCTTACAGAATTGTAGGAAAAAGTGGGAGGAAAGAGTTCTGTGTATGCCACCTTGAGCTCTTGTATGAAAGATGGGATAAAATCTAACAAATAATGTTGTATTTTGAGATATGGGTTGAGCAAAAGATGGCAAGGTGCAATCTTAAAAAGAATAAAAGCGTCTCCATAATAGCCATTTCCCAATTAACCACATCATTTAAAATAAAAATAAGAATGCATGATCACAATGACAGAAAATAGAAAACTGCTCCATTAATTCTTTATGCTGCTTAATGTTTTCAGATGTTCCAGATGAGCATAATTGAAGGGAGAATGTTGGATTCAATGAATCATGGAATCAAATAATACACTAAATCATATGAACCACAGAGATTAAAGTTGTTGTGAATTATGCCTTGTACAAGAATCATCTTGATCCTGGTAGACAATAAACCTCAAGCCCACATAACAATTACTGGATTTTTAAAAAGTTGTGATCAAGTGATCAATGATCTAATTCAGGAACTAGACTGATGACAGATGGCAGCAACCCTTTCCCATGGTGATCTTGCTGGAAAGCAGAAGTTGGTTGAGAAATAATCGCTGGGTACAGAAATAGGAAGAGAATGGAGAAGTTGATTGTTGCATGTGTTGGACATGATTCCTGCTGAATAAGCAACAAGGCATGCTGCGTGTCCAGGGCTCGGCTTGTTACTTATCTGCTTGCAGTAAGAATAATAGGAATTTGCACAGCTTAACTGGTGGTGTGAAAGTTGAAGAGGAACTGTTTAAAATAAAAGAATGTGCATGTAAGAGCCAGATTTCTTAACCAGTATTCATCTGTGTTTCTTATTGTTAGATGAAGGTAATTAAACATTCTGAGGAGGCACTGAAAGCAGCCCTGATCTCCAAGGACAGACAGCTTTTGAAGCTTTATGAGAAGTTTGATCCTAAGGAGAAGCTTTTGCTAAATGAAGCATTTCAGCCAGACAGTATTCTTTTTAAGCCTATAACTCTGCATTCTGAATCAGACTGGATCTCCTCACATCCAGAACCCACCCAGGATTTTTCACAGTTTTATCATGACCCTTGCAGAAATGTGCCAACCCCGCAGAAGAGTCAGATTTACATCCAGCCTATTGGTAATATTAACAAAGCAGCTGTGCAAGTGTTTATTGAGCTGTTAAATAGCCATTAATTAAGAATGCAGCTTTCAAGTTTTCCACTTTTATTACTTGCATAACTGTCATTGAAACTTGGATATTATAGAGCCAGTTTTTCAGGATCATTTTCTCTGAACTGACAGCATGAGCTAAAGCATCTTATACACTCCTACAGTTCCAGAATGTGGGCAACAGTTGATAGTGGTGGATGAGTTTCTGTCTTCTACTTGAGAAAGTTGCCAAGGCAGTCTGAACATGCAGGAGATCAGAATTATACTGTATAAAACACAAAGCCCAACTTAGTGCGTGCTTAAATTCAAAAGAACCTATTTTTGAATAATAAAATTTATTCCTAAGTGCGCATATAATTAAAGCTTAGATCCTTCATTTTCCTGGATCATGATAACTATTCCTTAAATTGCAATGCTACCCTTGTTCATTAAATGATATTTGGCAGGGCTTTTTCTCTTGTCTTTTAAAATAAGCTAATTGTTCCTACTCAGAGTTGTATAGCCAGACAATTGCAAAGTAAGGTTAATATTTTATTGTAGTAGTATATGATGATTTTGCCTATAAATAGTGGAAGGAAAAAGCTGCTATGAATTGATGTTTTCTGGGCCTACTTTTTAAGGTTCTTTTGGAGATTCCAAAGTTAGCACGGATGTCTACTTGAAATGGCTGAGAGATTACTGTGAAGCATTTTACTATGGCCTGACTGTAAGAATCCTAGACCCGATGCCAGTTTCACACACAGGTTGTGCTTTCCGAATCAATGAATACACACACAATCTGCAGATTCATGCAGGTACGGGGAATAGACAAAACAGTGATAGACTGGTTCATTCTTGTGGTTTGGATCAGTTTGGTCAACTGGTTTGTAAATCTCAGGTGTATTTAAGTAATTTGAGATATTTTTGACAAGTAAAAATCTGACATTTGTGGGTCTTGAATAACTGATTGTAATCAAAAGTCAAATAAATATCCCAAAGGTATTAATTTTCAGAATCCTATGACTTTATGTTTTTAAGCCTTTGGAATCAAAACTTTAGGGTATGAATCTTAATTATGCAGAAATAAGAGAACTGTTGGCAAATAGCAGTGCCTGAATATACATAGGAATCTTTATTGTACTAAATTAGATTACTGATCTATCTAGCCTAGCACTATCAATGCAGATTAGCAATCGCTCTCCAGGGTTTTAAGCAAGGTTGTCTCCAGCCCTACATGGAGATGCCTGGAATTGAACCTTGGATTAGCTGTATAGAAAACATCTGCTTTGTATACATGCACTGAGCTACAGCCCATTTTATGAAGAGGCTTATTAAGCGGCCCTAGAAGTCAGTTTATTTGTCCTTCTTTGAGTAGAGAGAGATACCTCTTCCTCTTGGACTGAGGCAGAGATCTTTCATTTCATCTCTTACCGATGCTGAGGGTTGAAACCGACATCTGTTGAATGCAAAATGTGTACCGTTGAAATACTGCATGATTCTTTCTTTTACTGGTGCTTTTGTACATAGATGGTAGATAGATCGTCCATCATAAAACAAATGGAACATGCATAGATTTGTTGTTTAACTGCAAATTTCATATTAATTTAAAAGGAACTAAATTAAAAGTTATTAGGTTTAAATTCATAGTCTTTATTTTCTCTGTGCTTGCCTCTGTGGTATGTAAATTGGAGAGATCATCTTAAGATCTCTCTTATTTTCAGAATTACTGTTATAGCTGCAGTTCTTGATTATGCAGTTACTGCCTTCTGTTGAGAGAGACTGATACATGTTTTTCATATAGGGTACCTCTTGAATTACCTGAAGAAAAAAAAGGCAAAGAATGCTTTTTGCATTGTGGGAATAACCATGATAGATCTTTACCCGAAGGACTCTTGGAATTTTGTCTTTGGACAAGCCTCCTTGACAGAAGGTATGTGGTTGGCTTTCTTTCAAGTTATCAGGATGATTTATGATATGGCCTTGGCCAATCATCTTCTGTAGTTTACATGAAATGTAATTAAATCTGAATATAAACAAAAAAATTACTTGAATATTGTGACAATACTGAAAGTGCATATGAGAGGGGGTTTTCTTCACACTGCAAGAAAACTAGATCTGCAAGTTTTCAGTAGAAGCCAGCTATACGCAGGACTGATGGCCTGTTATTTTAGGTATCACAAACCGATTCCCTTTAACTCAGATGCATTTTGCATTATATTCATGTTGTACCTTTGGAACTTGCCACTCAATGAACCTTGAGTGAACATGACAATATTCTTGCATAGGAGCAGGTAGAAACAGGATACTGGTTTTGTACATTCAGGCTGCATCAGAGTGAGTTGTGTTGCAAATATTATCTGACATTACTAACAAGTAAAAGTAAAGTCTGTTGTCAGTTTGTTTTCTGGGGGCTTTGTGGATGCATCCACACAGTTTTCTTGATTGCACATTGGTATATGCCTAGAGTTTTTTGGTTTGCCAGAGATTATTTTAGCAGGATGGAAAGAACTTTGAAAATGCAGGCGTCATGCCTCATTCCTGCGTGACTGGCCTGATACCAGCGCTCAGCATCTTGGGAAGAGATCTTCTACAGAGAAACAGGACCTTTAATGACAAGCACGAGGATCGTGTAATTTATCGACCTTGATGGGGTTCACGCATTTACCAGTATGCTAAAGTACAAACACGTTAGTCATGTTCGGTGTTAGTATGATGCATAAGCCCAGCCTCAGAATGCTAGAAGAGTTCATTCAGCTCCAATATAGCTCTGAGTATATGAATCATCTTCCATAATCTTTGCAGACTGGAAGCATTCTGTTCACATATAAAAACTGACAAGTACCCTAATGAGCAGTGGCACTCTATCTGTGAGGCACAGGAATATTTAAGGACTGGGGTTGGCTTGAGCTTATGTTGCAAATCACTGGAGATGTCTACATAGTGTATAACTGTGTGTAGATTAGGTAAATTGGACTTTCCCTCCTGTTCTAGAAACTCAGTGGGTTTCAAAAGCAAGTTAGATTTTCTGCAGAAATCCCTCCCCCTAAATCTAGTCTGTACCTATTCAAAGAAATATTTATCTAGAGTTTATCAGAATGGTATAGACAATCCATCTTCCCTTAAGCTCTCAAGGCAGAGCAATACAGATGTTACATTATATCATGCTCCTATGTTCAGGGTTTTACAAACCTTACACACACATCCTTGGATGGGGTGGGGCAGGGGAATTCTCAGTTTTTACACAATGTATATCCTGTGTTGTATTTTCAGTTACATTGACCACCAGGAGGCATCAGATTACCAGTTTTCATCCTTGTTGGGAATCATTAGATGTGGGTAGCCCAGATGTCATTCTGTGGGGTTCAGGAAATTGAACTTGTGGGTCTTTGCAGTTCAATTACTATATACAGTGCATTAAGTTTATGATCTATCCAGGTCCTGGTGCTCAGTGGTTTACAGGAAGGGATATATAGAGTCTGTTAGAATAATATATATGGCCTGTGGTACAGAGGAAGAAATTATTGGTTTCAAGATGTTTGCTCTGAGTTATGTTGTACTTTCATTGACCAAAAGAGGGCAATGGTAGTACATTTGAAGCTTTTTTATAATGAAGCCTAGGAGCCTCTATTTTGCAGTTTTGGACTAAAGCATTTGTATTCAGTTGATGGTCATGCTACACGGCAGTGGATATCTCGTTTTAAATTTTTGCAAACTAAACATGTTGGTAGGGAACATGAAACTATTGGAGAGGTGGTATGTTTTCTCAAGCCTTATTTTCTTGACAAAAAACACATTCCTTTCTGAAATGGTTATTTGCACATAGGGGAGTTGGGGTAGAGTTATCTTGTAATACACCAGTAACTTTTTCATTCATGTAGAGGAGGTGATTATCTGATTGCATGAGATGTAGTCAAAACCCTTTTGATCTTTACTTGGGCTCCATTTTTCCTATCCCATTTTATCTGTTCTGCCTTTTCAAAAGGGTTCGTGCTAAGCTCCAGCGCAGAAGTGTTTTGGAGGACTTAAATGTTTGCTGCCCTTTGTAAACTCACTTGCTGAGTGGACTGTTTTGCAGCTGAATTGGTCCAGGTGGGGTGTAAGAGAAAACAGCTTTATTTCAAGCAACAAAGAGATTGTTGCTTTGAAATAGAGGAGGATTTTTTTCTGACTTTTAGAACAGACATTTGATCTTTTTCCAAGCCAAGGATCATACTTAGCTTTGGTATCATGCCAAGAACTAGACAGTAAAAAGTGGGTAGGACAAAGATTAGATGGAATTAAAATGGAATTAAAATAAATGGTCATTAATTAAATATAGAATATGATTACTCCATTATATTTAATAATCTCTTCCTCCTGTCATTTTAAAAATTACACCTTTGTGACAATTCTTCTAGGAACTTTGAAGTGGACTGCAAGGTTTCTGTAGTAGAAGTACTCTTTTTAAATGTGTATGTATTATGTATGTAATATGTATGTATGTAAGGTTAATATAGCAATTTGCTGTCGGTAGAATTTTAATTTTAATTCCTCTTTGCTTTGGTAAGGGGTAGGGATCTTCAGCTTTGCAAGATATGACAGTGACTTTTACAGTGCAAACTACAGAGGCAGATTGAAGACTACGAAAAAGCTTTCTGCAGCTGACTATTCTGTGTTTGACAGTTACTATACTCCTGAGATTACAAGTAAACTGCTTCTGAGATCCTGCAAAGTGAGTGTTTTAAATTCCTAGCATTATGTTATTTATATTGAAACCACATTTCTGTTTTAGTATCCATACTTCTTTTTCATTTGTGTAAATCAGCTTTAGCACCTTTCATTAAAGGAACAGTAGTCTATTAAATATTTTCAGCATGTTGGCCTAGTGCAGTGTTGTCCAAACTTGGCCACTTTAAGATGAGTGGACTTCAACTCCCAGAATTCCCCAACCAGCATGGCAAATGTGTGGACTTCCACTCTCAATATGCTGACTGGGGAATTCTAGGAGTGTAAGTCCAAACGCCTTAAAGTTGCTGAGTTTGGGAAACACTGCTCTAAACACTAGACCAGTGTTGTCCAAACTTGGCCACTTTAAGATGAGTGGACTTCAACTCCCAGAATTCCCCAACCAGCATGGCTGGCTGGGGAATTCTGGAAGTTGAAGTCCACTCATCTTAAAGTGGCCAAGTTTGGACAACACTGGTCTAGTGTTTAGAGCAGTGTTTCCCAAACTCAGCAACTTTAAGGTGTTTGGACTTACACTCCTAGAATTCCCCAGTCAGCATATTGAGAGTGGAAGTCCACACATTTTAAAGTTGCCGAGGTTGGGAAACACTGGTCTAGAGCTTGGGGGGCTTGACTGGATTGGAAGTATAAGAGTCCTGCGGTTTACTTTTCTTAAGCTACACGGGAATCTCTTGAGAAGATCCCTCAGATTCACATTGCAAGGAATCTGGCTCCTTTATTCCTGCTATTTTAAAGTTAATATGATTCAAATTAAGCTATTTCGTCACCTTAAAATAGATATTGGCCATTCCCTCACTAGTGATATATAGTGTCTTCTAGGGTCACTCACTCATCATCACTGTAGCAATATAAAGCCTATCTTCCTTATTACTGTTTTGGCAGAATGATTATTAGATGCTACAGATAAATAGTGAGGAAAGAGCATTTGCCTGTGTTGACACCACAAACCTAGTCAACCACATTTTAACCTAGTTGGTTGTGAGGATCCAGCGTGTGTGGTTAATTTATGTGTCAGTATGTCATGCGAACCCAGAAAATCAGGTTGAGTCAAACATTAAGTTACCATAGGATAAGCATGTGATGTGAACACTACCGCTCCCTTCTTTCAGGAAATAAAGCATTTCCTCCAATGATTACTTCATCATTATTGCTCTAGACAGAAACATATTCATGTGACAACTTGAATGTTGGATTGAAATCATGCAGAAATTTGGGGAGCCTTTTTTGCAGAGGGAGGTTGTTGGCTTCATGGATTAGAGAAAGCTTTTAGAAGCTAAAGCTTGAGATCTTTTCTAACTCACTGTTTTTATCAGCGCTGTGGAGTTGGCACATAAAACCTTCGACTCCGACTCTGACTCCTTTAACTACATATCGATATAGGAAATAAATTATAAATATACAAATTATATATTTCCTATATTGACTGCAAGCAAGCAACATACAAAGCATTAAAATTAAAATATATCCTGAAAAAAATAGGTTAATCAAATTATTATTTATGAAATAAGAAATTTTAACATAATATTTATATTTTATACAATTTAAATTTATTAGGAGTCAGAGTTGGTACATTTTTACCGACTCTGACTGCAGTAACCCAAGAATTGCTTCAACTCCACAACTCTGACTCCGCAGCCCCTGTTTTTATTTTGCTTTTCATATCTTAGAATAATCTAAGTATAATTGTGCTGAAGTAGGTATTGTGCTAAAAGATTAAAATGGATTGGTTAATATTTATATTTACTGAAGAGTCTAAAGGTAAAAAGTCTAAATTCTTATTGTTTGTTTGTTTGTTAAACTTATCACTCACCTTTTCTCTAGGTGTTCAAGGTCCTTTACATGGGGATCTCCCTTCATTTTTCCCCACAGCAATGCTGTGAGGGGGTTGTGCTGAGAGTGACTGACCCAAAGTCATTCAGTGAATTTCTGTGGCTGAAGTTGGGCTTGTATCTGGTTGTTCCCAGTTGTAGTCCAACACCAGTGTATCACACTGGCCAATTCTACCCTTTCCCAATCCCTTGTGGTCCAAATGTCCTGGACTGCAACTTCGATTATCCAAGTCCATGAACAATAGATATTATGGCCAAACACAATAAGAAGGCTGGTTTAAGTAGAATTCTTCTATTCATATTCCATGGCAGAGCAAGAATTCAGTCATAATTTTTTTCTGCTATAAAATGATTTTGCCATCTAAATTATTCCTCATCCTGCAACAAAAGTGTGCACCTTGGTTTGAAAAAGAGCTAGCGGTGCTATAGGGACAGTAAGGCTCTTATCCAGAACAACTATTGTGGTTTTAAGTTGTCTTATGTGATTTGGCTGTATCTGTGTTTCAGACTTTGACTCATGAGATTGGGCACATCTTTGGGCTCCATCACTGTCAGTGGTTACAATGTGTTATGCAGGGATCTAATCATCTGGAGGAATCAGATCGACGTCCATTAGACCTTTGTCCTGTTTGCTTGCGCAAGCTGCAGTCTGTACTTGGGTTCAGCATTCTGGAAAGATACAAGGTATGTCACTTCAGGACGGAGTCTTATACCCTTTAGCGGCGTGGGAACTGCTTTAATGCTGCTCTTTCCAGCTCTGGCAGAAATGAGAAATCCAGATTATGCAGGAGGGATTCATTACATTGCTCCACTGCATGGCAGTATACATTCTATGCTGATGATGGCAGTGATGAGGTCAAGGCAGAGTTAGGGGCTGAAGTCAAAAGCTCAGCTCAGCAGAACCAACAGGAAAGTCTACTGGGCAGTGTGGACTTGTAAAAAAGCTGGACATTTCTGGGTTCAAATATATATAATGATACAAAGAATTTTAAAGATTAACATTCAACTGAAACCAGAACTTTTCTTGCTGGGATTAATGAACAGTCAATTAGACAAGAGCCATAGAAGATTATTTTTATATATGATTACTGCTGCGAGATTATTATATGAGCAAAAATGGAAAGACTGTGAAATACCCACAGTGGAAGAATGGTTGGTGAAGATGAGAGAACTAGCAAAAAAAGAGATGGCAAAATTAACTTGTTTGACTAGAGAAAGTCAACAGCTACATTTATCAGTGAATGGAAACACCTTGTGGACTTTTTGCTGAAAAAAGAGAAAAATAAACTTGTGATTTATGAGTTTGAAGATTAGAAAGGGTAGCTTATGGAAAGATGCAAATTATGCTGTAACCTTAGAGAGGGTAACATTTAATGCATTTCTAACCGCTGTCAAAAAACCACTTCTTTTTTTCCTTTCTTTTTCTTTTCTTTTCTTTTTCTTTTTCTATTTTCTTTCTTACTTATTCACTATCCTTTCTTATTTTCTTTGTTTCTTTTCTGATATTTGTATTTTTATTTTGTTAAAAATTTCTTCAATAAAAATGATATATATAAAAAAAGGAAAGTCTGCTGGGAATCAAGGGTGCTTTGCCACATTTCCTGATAACATTACCATATAAAGAGCTTTGTTTGCCATAGGGCCATTAACTGCAAATTTTAAACCTGCCATAGTGTGCTTCTGAATGTGGGCAGGAGCCACAGAAGGGCTATTTCTGTATCAACCTGGAGTACTCACTGACTGTTGATGTGAACTAGGCAATGTTTAATGTACCACATTAGCAAAGTGACTAACAGCATAATACTTAGGGCAAAATGGTATTTAATATTCCTCTAAATTTCTGCTATGAAGCAGTGGGATCCTTTAGAGAGAAACAACCATAATGTGTTAGCCACCATTACTTAGATCCAAATATACAGGTTCAGTTGAGTATGAATATGCAATTCCTCCAACACGTTTTTCAACCTATAAGTAATTTGGGTGACATAGGTTTTCAACTCTAGTTCAGTTGTAGAAATATTTGATGCTCTGGAGTGTTGGGGGTGGGACATCCAGGGGAAAAGCAAGTTCAACATCAACCATACCATTTTAAAAGAGGTAGGCATACATTTTTCCTGCATAATTTCTCAGGCTCCTTATAAACACTTTGGGTCTGCTGCAGGTAGCTTGTACATCCTCTCTGCTCTAGGTATGTAGGTATGGTAGAGTGCTGGTCTGTAGGAGGCAGAAGGGAGAGGAGCAGAGAGGGCATAAAAGAAAAGGGCTTGCAGGAGGGGGAGGAGCAGGAACCTTTGAGGGAGGCTCTCTAGCATCCCCAGGAGCCCCATTTGATTAACAGCAGATGCTCAGGGAGCTTCTGGTTTCCTGCTGTTTCCTTGACTGCAGTTGAGGAGAAAGATGGAGAAGAAAATGTTTTGGTTGCTCTTCATACACTTGTCATACTTCCTGGAGAATGTAGCTTCTACAAACTGAAGGTAAAATACACATTTATGTTCCATCAGCACACAGGATAGGCTAGTCAGCCTTGCAAAAGTTTCATCAGAGCCTGAGCTGGCCCAGGAAGCAGTTCACATCTTTGCAACTAAGAAGGGACAGAAAACACCACTTTGATCATTCAGACCAATAGAAAAGCCTTTATTTCCCTCCCTCCCTCCCATTCAGATATTTGAAAGTCACTTAAAATTTTAAGACAAGGTTAAATTGTTAGTACTTTTAGTTAAGTTGTTAGAAGAGCAGTATCATGGGAGGAATAGAGCAGAAATATGGCCAAAGTAGGACTTCCAAAATTTTGGCTGGGGCATGGTGGGTTCATTTGAGGTCTCTGTCTCAGGTACCCAAATGTTGTTGGCCAATCCTGCTCTTCCATGGTCCTCTCCTTGTTGCCTTCCCCTTGTCCTTTAGCATGTGGATCCCTGTCCATGTTGCTGTCATTCCCAATAGTGCCTCCATTGATATAATAGTTAATAGTACCAAAGCCTGCTGTCCTTGTGTACCCATGCTTTGGTACCATCAGCATGAAACCTTTTGGCTTTTGATGCCAAGGTGCATTTGTCTGCACATACATACCTCCAAGAGGCTCTCGCAAGGCTTCTTGCCCATTTTTTTATTCAGTGCGGATACAGGGAGAGAAGGAAGAAACCATCTACAGCTTGTAGGCCCTTGTTCTTTCCTTTTTACTTGTCCTCTATATGCAGGTGCTAGAGCTTCTAACAGAAGACCTTCTGATTTCCCCATTTAGAACATTCTGTGAGATTCTGTAGATCTGCCGCACCCAGCCATTTGTATGTATTGGTTTACTGTGCATGATAGAGTTATGGCTTGTTCCTTTGTTCTCTTACCTGAATGAAATTAAGGAAATCAAATGTTAAGAGAAATGGTCTGCAATATATGAAAAAGAAATCATTGATATAGACATTTGACTTTATGCTAAATCAACTACCTATATTTTCTGTTTTCTTACTGTGAATGCCCATTTTGAATAAAGTTTTTAATTAGTATTTTAATTTCTTCTAGGCACTGCAGAGATGGATAGAGGATGAAACTAATGGGACAGAAGAAGGGCATAGCAGTAAGGCTAGAGGAGGATTGCCAAAGCCAGTGGAAGCATTTACAGAAAGTTATGAATTGCTTGTCAAATGCTTAAATGTTCTCCAGAAATAAGTTTGATATGCAGGTTCAAAGGGAATGGTCTTATTATAATAGTATAATCACTGCTGAAGTATGGTGATGAATTAAATATATTTTAAGTTAAAAGCTAAAAGCCTTATTATAAAGATTTAACCTGTTGGTTTTGTATATTTTCTTTTGTCTCTATTAAATCACTCTTTCTTCTGGAATGTCTAACACAGTCTAATAACACATTATTTATTTCTTACATTGAAACATTTAAACTACGCTGCACTCCATGGAACCACTGTCAAACATCTGAATTTGTTATTTTGTCCAAGATATTGATTGACAAATTGAGCACTCTGTTTGTAATATATTTATTTACGTGACTTTGGAACAAGCATCAACAACTTTAAGAAGCATTTTCTCTGCCTGTTCAGCCAATGGCCATGTTTGCATTCCATGGCAAACTATAAATCCTGCTTTTGCATGGAACAAGAAGCGGAGTGGAAGCAAATGGGTTGTGTGTATCAATAAGCCCTTCATGCACATCATAGTTCAAAATAAATGCAGACAAACTTAGGGGGCATAAGCAAGGTATGAAATTGGATGGTAGATCAGAGCCTCTAGTGCTTGTGCTCATGTATGCTCCTGCCATCAGTTGATCTCTCTCTCTCTCTCTCTCTCTCACACACACACCCTTCTCTGCCCATGTAATCTTAATTGAAATGTTAGTTCAAGAAATAATTGGAAAAAATCACTGGCAAGAAGTTAAAGGCTAACTTCCTTAACAAATTTGATGCAGCTGAAATTGCAAAGGGAAGGAAAATCTTAATTTTATAAGCTCCTTCCTCTCTCTTCTTGATAAATTTGTTGTGCTGGAAAACAAAGCATATGAAGAAAACTCTCTTGATGCACCATTATTCCTAGCAAATGTTGGTTCCTGATAGTTCTCCAGTGAACTGTATGAGATGTCGGAAGTCTGCTTCTTCTTGAGAGAAACCCATAAAAGAAGAGTAATCCTTCACGCCCTTCTCTTGGCTAATTTAGAGTCTGTTGGGAGGGGACTTCTCTGGGAAATAAGGGCATATGAGAAGGGTCATGCCTGTGTGTCCTCTTCCACAGAACTATCCAGGTGGCAGCAGAAGAAAAGTTAGGAATTAACAAGAAGCATTGTTTAGTTGTCTACCACTAAATGAAAAAGTCAAGATTTATGGTTTATATGTGTGAGTGAAGTTTTTATTGAGGCATCAAGTAATTAGAAGTTCTTTATTGGCTATTTAGAATTTTATGATAAAGTTACTAGAGAGGTAGAAGTGTAAACAATTTTTTCAGAATAAATGAAGTTTAAGAAATGTTCTAGGACTGGGTGTCACTAATTTGAAAGTAGGAACATGCGTCACATATTTAAACTGCCAAGACTTCCCATCCTGAATGTGCTGAGATTATGTAGCGGCATTTTTTTTAATGAAATCAAATTTAAATAACTGATTTAATAAATAATGCTGGTCAGTAGAAAAGAAAAGAAAAGAAATTGCAGTTCTGTCTGCACTTACCTGAGAGTACACCTCTTTTAAGCTTAACAAAACTTACTTTTGAGTAAACATGATTATGAAAGGTAAAATTTATTTATTAATCAAATTTGTAAGGTTGCCTAACTAAGTGACCAAACTCTGAGCAGAAAACATACAATATAAAACATTAGTAATAAAACAACAAGAATAAACCCTGGGTCAAGGCCCTCTCATTAAAAACAGAAAACACCTATGACATACATCCATGCTGGAGCTCCCAAACTAACAGCCTGGCCCCAGTGCCGGGGGGAAGAGCCAGGTCTTCATGGCCTTCCAGAAGGCCAGTAAGGTTAGGGTTGTCTGTATCTGAGGGGAGGCTGTTCCATAGGGCAAGCACCAAGATAGAAGGCCTGCTTTCTAGTTCCCAACAGGTGACATGACCTCACTGAGGGGACTCAGGATATGCCCACCCTGCCAGATCTGGTGAGATGGGCAGAAATCACGGGAGAGCCAGTCCTGCAAGCAACCTGGCGCCATGCCAGATAGGGCTTTAAGGGTGACAACCAGCATTTTGAATTGCACCTGGAAGCCTACTGGGAATCGGTGCAGTACATGCAGCAGTGGTGTTATGTGGGTATCCACTACTGCTCAAGTTTCTGAATGCTTTTCAAAGACAGCCCCATGTAAAGTGCATTGCGATAGTCCAATCAGGAGGTGGCTAAGGTATTAGTAATTGTGAGCATTGCCTCCCCATCTAGGAATGGATGCCACTGGTGCACAAAATGTGTTTGTGCAAAGGCCTTCCTGGCCACTGGCTGTGGGAGTATAACTTCATTCAGAGTAACAGTGGAAAATCACGAGATACTGAGGCCCCTAAAATCAACAGCCACTCAGTTTTCCCAGGATTGAGTTGAATTGCACAGCCTCCAGGCACTGGAAAAGCATGACAACAACATCACTTGGATAACCTGGGGCAGAGATGTACAACTGAGTGTCATCACCGTACTGATGAAAATTCACCCCATACCAATGGATAACCTCACCCAGTGGTGTCATGTAGATGTTAAATAGAGGTCCTACAGCTGGACCTCTCCCCCCTCCCACCCAACACCAATTGGAATTGGCCATAGAGAAAGGAGGAAAACAATTGAAGGACACTGCTTTCTACTCCCAACCTCCTCAGCTGGCCCAGAAGGATACCATGATCAATGACTGAGAGATCAAGAAGGGCCAGGATGGATACACTACCTCCATCCTGAGCTCACCAGAGGTCATCCACAAGCATGATCAATGCCATCTCACTGCTGTATCCCAGCCCGAAACGGACTAACGGATCCTAATAATCTGCCTCCATCAGGGCTCTTTGAAGCTGTAGGCCTACCACCTTCCTGACAACTTTCCCTAAAAAAGAAATATTGGAAACTGGATGAAAATTGTCCAGTACAGCTGGGTCCAGTGATGGCCTCTTGAGGAGGGAGCATACCACTGTCTCCTTCAAGGCAGGTGGAACCACCTCTTTCCACAGAGAGGCTTTTAATACCGCTTCAACTGAGCCATGTGTCACCTTCTGGGAGGGCCCTAACCAGTCAGGAGGGGCATGAATCTAACACAGGAGGCAGGGCTCAGCATCACAAGGACCCTGTCTACTTCCTTGTGGGCAACAGATCAAACTCAGCTCATATACCCAGACAAGACTGTACCCTAGACATCTCCATTGGACCAGTACAACTAGAGTTCAACTCCAAGAAGACCTGAACAACTTTATGCTGAGCATAATCCTCCTGTAAAATACAGTTGTATATTACCCAAATCTCAGAGATGCCTTTTTGAAGATCTAAAGTATGTGTATATGCATGTATGTATTTATATCCTATTGCAACTTTGGGTGTCTCACATGGTATAAGAATATTAAAACATCCACAATATATTTGAAATTACAATTAAATTACTAAATCAGAAAACCCCTACATTAAATAACAAAAAAAATAAACAAAAAAGGAAAAATATAAAAGATGGTGTAGTACATAAACAGCATCAGAATGCTCACTGCAATAGCTCAATTTTTAACAAGTTCCTAAAAGCTAACAAAGAAGCTATGTACCTTACAATTCATAAATAAAAATGCTACTCTTTCTTCAGAATTGAAAAAGGAAATCATGAAAATTGGCTTTTATGACATTAACATGCCAGGTCCAAATTGGTAACCCAGATCTGTTCTGGAGAACTGATGGATCCTCTAGATGACACTGAGCAGTGACCTGGGAAAGTGCAGGGGGGAAGGAGGAGAACTACACAAGCGGAGGGCCATTTTTTGACGTTGGATGTCACCCACCGATGATCAATTTGATTAAAGTTTGTATCCCTCCTAATTAGGCCTGGGTCCATTAAACAACTATTTTGGATAAGGAGCTACATCTCTAAACATAGCCAAGCTTTGGCTCATGTACAAATGTAATTGGAAATAGTCTCAGAACTGATTAAAATGAAAGGAACATTTTTAATGGAAAATCTACTAAGATTTAAGAGGCAAAAATCGTTTAATTTCCTTTGTTTGAATTACTGTCATCCTGGCACAAGAATGCTTCCATCTTACTCTATAATCCAATTTCCTTGCCTGCTTAATGCTTAAGCGTACTTTTTCTCCCCTTCCTACCTAAGTAGAATGGATTTCCCACTGTGTATAATTTTCAAGGTTAATTTTAGTCAACCTTTAAATGGATGGGCATTGCCTTCTTCCAGGATGTGTTCTGACTTCCCAGAAGTTATATTTGACAAGAGGGCATCTTTAATTTTGAAAGCATCACAGGAATAATTTCTTCCCGTACAAGTTTTTGCAAGAACATATCTGAGAGTTCCACCTGACAGAGATAAGGCAAAGGGCTTACTGATCACAGAACCCAGATTATGGGTATATTATATAATATTATTATATATGGATTATATACATATAGGAGTCTTATTTTGGCACGATTTTTTTTTCAAAAAAAGACCTTTCAGTGTGCCTGAGTTTATCTGTCACTTTTTGTTGACATTTTTGGTTAGTATTCAGACAAAAGACAGAATGGGAAACCTTCACCTTCCTTCTGTTTATTTTTAATTTTTTCCAATCACCCTTGAATTGTCTTTTGCGTTATACCACAGTACAGTTAATTTGTTTTTGTTTTAACCTGTTGGGTGAACACAGCCATTGTGAGTTATTAAAGAAACTAAACCTTTGCCTTAGACCCAGGTTAATTAGGGTGGTGGTTTGATAGACTGATGCTCTACAAAGTCCAAGTATGTTTTATTAGATGCCAACAGAGCAGTTGTATGTTATTGAGCATTCACATTCTCTCTCCTACCCAAGAAAATGTGGATTTTTCAACACTAATATTTTAGAGGCTTTTGCCACTATTCCCCACCCCCACAGCTTTGGGGAGATACCTGCTGTGAAATATGGAGAATTAGTTCAACAGGATGAATTTTTCCTTCACAGGCTAGATTTCTCCAGCATCCAGGATTGTCAAGCTTGGAATAAAACTGGAATGGAAAAACACACTCAATGGATTGCCTATCTGGATGCTTCTGGCTTTTCAATAATCAGTCAGGTGTGTCAGATTTTCCTTCTCACAGATAGGCAGGTTAAGCCTGCTTCTTGGTTAAGAAGGCATCCTGCGTGTGCTCAGAGACACTTTGTTCCCCCTTATTGTGGAGCCATGGCGGGCAAAAGATTTGAGGGGAAGCTGAAGTTTACTTGGTTTGGATTTAAGAACTGATGTGCAAGAACAGCAGATGCTTCAGAGAACTCTTTGGTATTCAGACAAAAGACAGAAGGGAGAAACTTCTACCTTCCTGTGGGAACGTCCGTCACCAACTCGTCCTCTCCCTGAGACTGGTGACCACTCAGCGATCGCCTTGAAAGGTACACGGGGTTTTGTGCCGGGTTTGGATTCCGAAGCTTCGCTCTCGGACTCGTTCGGGCGGAGAAGGCTCGGCTCATCCTGATTGGCTCAGGCCCGAGGAAAGGGGTGGTGCCAAGCCGCGCGTACGCTTGCCGTGAGTCGGGGAACCAGGTCGCGAGCGGCGGTGGCGGCGGCTGGAGCGGCGCGGACCAGTGAGTGAATAAACCATCTTTCCCGTACGGTTACCTTATTTTAACACGGGCACAACTTTCGCACTTTGAGTTAGCCGAGAGGATTGGTTCGGGGGATCAACTGAAAGGAGGGCGAGGAACCACACCGAGCTTGGAAAGTAAATATTCAGCCGCAGGCTCTCTCGATGCGAGGGCCCGGAGCTGCAGGTATCTTGCAGACTGGGTGCCTGACGGCCTCTAGGGAGGCAGGCAGGCAGGCAGAGTGGGCGAACTACTCCCCAGACAAACGCGGCTGCAGGAGTGGCTCCAGGGGATGCGGGTCCCCCCCCCCCCCCCCCGGGGGGGGGG